AAATAAATACATAAATAAATAAATAAATAAATAAATAAATAAATAAATAAATAAATAAATAAATAAATAAATAAATAAATAAATAAATAAATAAATAAATAAATAAATAAATAAAATTTAAACACAACTAAACACAATACAGCACAACAGCAAAACACAGCGCAGGACGGTACAGTTCAAAGCAGCTTACGCATCTCACCATATCACTACAACACAACACAACACGTAGTTCTTAGATTGATTATGAAATTCGACCAATAAACTAGATTAGCATAAATAGAGCACATGGTACCGAAAAACATTCCCTCATGATACAAAATGCTCCAAACATTAACGTACCACAGATATGCATGTTTATTCTATCTTGGCGGTGTTGGTTGCCGAGTGGGAGTGAGGGGTTATTTGGAACGAGGGATTGGTTGGGAGTGAGGAATATTTAGGATATAATACATATTGTGCTTTGGTAAGCAGATTCATCGCGCCAGTAGGTCAGTGTCCTTTTATTTTTAATAATCTCAGGTTTCGACCATTACCAAAATGATGATGCCTAGTTTAGTGAACATGTTCACGAATATTGGAATCATGGCTTGCCAAACTTATACACATGATTTAATAATACTTTTTTTATCAGCAGTTAGAAGGGGAATTCAATTTGTGACCAAGTTATTCGGTTCAAATACCATAACCTTGAGGCAGTGTGTAGTGAAAGGAGGGGTTACGATGTACATTCAAATATCTCAGCATAGGCTGCACAGTATGCGATACATACAATATGCGCATACGTATTAGAGGTTTTTGTTTACGATAAATCATAATGGTCTACAGTATCGAAAATAAATATTGAAAAAAAAAATATTTTTCACCATATTGCATGTTTAACATTAAAACTAAATTTACGGCATATTCTCCACACTTTACAGCAATAAAGTCGGGTAAATATGTTTACTACTTTGCTGCCAGTATGGACTTGTGGAAAGCTTCTATAATTCAAAAAGCTTCTTAAATCGATTGTCGCACGCAATATGGTCGTTAGCATGCCCATTGACGAATATCAATTAACATGTTGGACAATGCACACCATACGCGCTTAGTGTAACTAGTGTAACACGCACCTCTTATAGCGTTGTTTCTTGTCATGTGGGCTGTCTGCAACGAACTCGAACACCCAGGCTCCCTAATAGTAAATCACTGATGTCAATGCCGGATGTCAACAGCCTTTCTTAACAAGTTTCCGATCCAATACTATGTACTATTTTGACAATTCCTATAATGTTATTGATATGAATTATTAAGTAGAAGTAGTTTAATTTAGTAAGTTGATTTCTAGAATGGCATTTCCCCCATTATAGTAGTTTCGTCCATAACGCAATGCACTTATGCTCAATAATGAAACGTTTAAAGCGCGGTGGTCGTCGCGCAGCTCGTGTTCGAATTTCATATAAATAAACAATGTATTTTACACGCGTTGTATACGTCGCTCTGAGTCTCATGTTGAACAGGACACTGCACGACGACTGCCGCCCTTTAAAATTGTTTTAAATTCCCATGTACAGAAACACACATGATTAAGATGTCACTAAAACTATTTAGTAGATCCATTTGAACTTGAATTTAATTTGTAGAAAACCGTACAACAGTAATTCATAATTCATAATTGCCAACGGATCTAAAATGCTGTAATTTTGGAAGTAAAACGTTTTATTAATAAAAGTAATACGTGTGATCTACCAATCTAATTAGTTCTGTCGATTTAACTGATAATACTGTTAGCAAGCTAGGGACATATTCACGAATGCGCCATCACCGATGGTAACATGAGACTAGATAGATCTTGATATCGAAGGTATTGATGAGTTGAAACATATCAGTGAAATCTTTTCCCAACATATTCGTGTTGAGATTGCACGTATGAACTCTCAAACAACAATTGTAGAGTTGTTATGACTTGTGATAGATAATACTGAAAACAACCCGATATGACGAGAGAACGTTGTCGTGGTCTCAAAAATGCAATTCATATTCATTCAGTTTAATAAATCTTTTGTGAGGTAACATGTGATTGATGCAAATTAATGTAATACGTTGTCGCCGTCTCTGTGTAGTCTTGTGTCCACAATATCTTATGAACCGTTCGTCTATTAGTATTTAACACTCTCTATTCAATGAAAACCCACTCATGTGTGAGTGGCAATGCGGTATGATGATGGTGAACGAGAATTTCACGCGCATTGGTCTGAAGTGCATCTTCACGCAACGCACATAGTTGAACTGAAGCATGGCCCTAAATTCATCTCAATGTTGTTTTCGTCACGTCTTTGTAATCGTACAGATCTCATCAAGACCTAGGCAACGATGCAGAAGAGCTTTCTCAACCTGTCGTCAGTTTAGTCACTCAACTCAAATAGATATCGCGTTTTTTTTTAATTCAAGTACTGATTGCAACGGTTCTTAAAATCCACTAACACATTAATGGGAATAATTGAAAGCCCTTAAACCACGCATATTCGCATGGCCATTGTCAAATAGTGCAATTAATAAAAAGTGCATTTCAAAGTTAGAAAATGAAGTATTTTTCTATAAAAATCAAATATGATTGTTTCGATCAAAGTTATGTTCATACTATAGTATAGTCACATGTTAGTTTATACTACCAATTACGGCGATATATAAACATGTAAATAAACATCAATGGTGTACAGTACACCTGAATTAAGCTTGAAACAGATGGTACTGTAAGAATATATATCCACTCCCATACAGTTTCCTATACTTAGTTTCTGGTAATGAAAAGAACTGTCATTACTATTTCAGTATAATTCATGTAAACTGATACGATCAGTAATGAAAATCCCCATGAGGCAATTCGACGATCCATTAAGGAATTGCCGGTTAAGGGCCCAACGAACATATTAATAAAATGGTTTCTAACGACACAAATCATAGCTTGCGAATAAATCATTTCTTGAAACGTCAAATGATGAAATACAACAGATTTAATTACTACATTTGACGTGCGTCAGAAGGAATGATGATAAAAGTGGTTGCTAGATCGCTTAAACCAAACCAATGCCCTCAAAATTGAGGTACATAATAATACTTTTGTGATTGACAGTCATTACGAATTGTTAAGAATCCCTCCTTTCAAGTCTAAATAAAAGAAATAACTGGTAGGGTTGTCACCAAACCATTACACATATGAGCACTTCAGAATTATATTATTCCCTTACATCATTGGGCAAAATACAAAGGAGCCACTTACGTGACAAGGAATTTAAACACAGTAATTAAAAGTCACATAACAGGAAATGTGTCGTGTGTCATTCTTTAATGTTTTAACGATTGCTGCTAGAGAATCACTCGTTTGTCCATGGGTCACTATCTGAGGTTACTCATACATTTAGTAGCATTTTATTAATATCTTAAATTATATTTATACGTGTTTTGACAGAGACGTAGACATCGTCAATTGCTTTAGGGCAAACTGCAATTATTATTACTGATGTCACAGAGAGTAATTTGTTGCCTATCACCCGCGGCCTATCAATCAGGCAAATGTAAGACAGCATCATTACACATGTCAACCATCAGCACTATTCAATAGAACTTTTAAAACCTGGATTTAGTAAATTCTAGTTTTCCTATACTCGTACTCATTGCCAGGCATTCATGTATTCATAACCATATGTATATGTACAACATGCAAGACTTTCTTTAGTTTGAGCGCAAAACACATGTGATCAACATTACCCCCCCCCCACACACACACACACACACAAAACATACACTCTAATAAACGTCACAATATGAAATCTATGATATTACCTTGTTAAGTTTAAGATGGTTGATGTGTTCTAGAAAGCGACGGTTATGACAAAAATATAACCGCTCATTTTCACGTTATTTAATAGCGCGTGCTTATCGTTTCAGTGATAGTTGATAGATAGATAGATAGTTGAACATGGTGGTGACACAGAAAACAAGTCCAGCATTACGTCAAAGTTTATATCAGCTTACAGATTACGTCATTAACACGTTAGCCAGAATATCGAAGGTGAAAAAGTTCAATAACATTATCTTTTGAATAACATCGTCAAGAGAATTAACAGAATCGAAATGTTACAAAATATACTCTATATAAATATATTGTTAATACGTTTCAAAAAATACATTAGAAAAAAATCTGAATTTTCTGAAAAGCTTGTGTTGATGGTATTTTGAGCGCTAGAATACTTATCGGTAGATGAATCACTCATCATGATACGCAAAAGATTCAGAGAATATGGCATTTATGCTTATTTCTGGAAATTATTGTTAAAATATTTCACTATTAATTGTTACCGAAATTATTCCTTTGCATGACAATCACGTGACAGATAAATACCTTGTCCATGGAGTGCGATGGGAATTGATGCAAGGCCACCAGTTTATATCAATATCGTGACATACAAATCGAAAATACCATTAAATTAGTGTATTAAATGATGTTAGTGACTATTGTGAGAATAAATATTTGTATTAAACATACAAAAACAGATTTAATAGAGCAATTATCATTTCAAATTGTTTGCAGAAAAAGGAATTATTTTATGCAGTGCAATGCTTGCTCTTTCGTAGCAAAATAAACGGTGTTCAAATGTGCGTAACACAATCATCAATCAATTTACATAATATGACTGTTTTTTATATACGAACAACTTTTGTATAACTTTTGAACAAACTATCGCGTTTTATAAAGTTATATTATAAAAGGTAGCTGGTACTGGATGTCACGTTCTAATCGTCATTACATTGCTCGTACGACTTTTTACTTTCTTTTCATATCATGACATAAAATATTGATACTTATTTACTTTACTTATTTGATAATCCTTATCTTCTGGACGTTGACAGCTCCAACTGTTGTGCAGTGTGTTTATTCTCGAGAAATATCGCTTGTTTCTACTACTAAGAAGTTCAACTTTAATACGATCTATGGCTTGTATGGTATAGCCGTCTATGGCTTATATGGTATAGCCGTCTATGGCTTGTATGGTATAACCGTCTATGGCTTCTATGGTATAGCCGTCTATGGTGTCTATGGTATAGCCGTCTATGGCTTCTATGGTATAGCCGTCTATGGCTTCTATGGAATAGCCGTCTATGGCTTCTATGGTATAGCCGTCTATGGCTTCTATGGTATAGCCGTCTATGGCTTCTATGATATAGCCGTCTATGGCTTCTATGGTATAGCCGTCTATGGCTTGTATGGTATAGCCGTCTATGGCTTCTATGATATAGCCGTCTATGGCTTCTATGGTATAGCCATATATGGCTTCTATGATATAGCCGTCTATGGCTTCTATGGTATAGCCATCTATGGCTTCTATGACATAGCCGTCTATGGCTTGTATGGTATAGCCGTCTATGGCTTCTATGATATAGCCGTCTATGGCTTCCATGATATAGCCGTCTATGGCTTCTATGGTATAGCCGTCTATGGCTTCTATGATATAGCCGTCTGTGGCTTCTATGGTATAGCCGTCTATGGCTTCTATGGTATAGCCGTCTATGGCTTCTATGATATAGCCGTCTATGGCTTCTATGGTATAGCCGTCTATGGCTTCTATGGTATAGCCGTCTATGGCTTCTATGATATAGCCGTCTATGGCTTCTATGATATAGCCGTCTATGGCTTCTATGGTATAGCCGTCTATGACTTCTATGGTATAGCCGTCTATGGCTTATATGGTACAGCCGTCTATGGCTTGTATGGTATAGCCGTCTATGGCTTGTATGGTATAGCCGTCTATGGCTTGTATGGTATAGCCATATATGGCTTCTATGATATAGCCGTCTATGGCTTCTATGGTATAGCCGTCTATGGCTTCTATGATATAGCCGTCTATGGCTTCTCTGGTATAGCCGTCTATGGCTTCTATGGTATAGCCGTCTATGGCTTCTATGGTATAGCCGTCCATGGCTTCTATGGTATAGCCATCTATGGCTTCTATGGTATAGCCGTCTATGGCTTCTATGGTATAGCCGTCCATGGCTTCTATGGTATAGCCGTCTATGGATTCTATGGTATAGCCGTCTATGGCTTCTATGGTATAGCCGTCCATGGCTTCTATGGTATAGCCGTCTATGGCTTCTATGGTATAGCCGTCTATGGCTTCTATGGAATAGCCGTCTATGGCTTCTATGGAATAGCCGTCTATGGCTTGTATGGTATAGCCGTCTATGGCTTGTATGGTATAGCCGTCTCGTACTTTGCGTGAGGTTCTACATTCGACAGATTGAGTGAACTCAATAATTAAATCTATCGCTGTTAATTAATTAATCTTTAATATACGTTCAACACTGGGTTACGAAGTGGTGATTATGTGTTATCTAAATAATGTTGACATACTTACTTCATATAATTAAACAATTGCAAACAAACTTGCGCCAATAAATGAACATATTCTGTAAACAAAACATAATATCTATCTATCTATATATATATATATATATATATATATACGACAATTAAAAACAGATAACATATCATTAATTTTGAACAAAAAACTAAGAACAAAAACTAAGGATCTTTAATAGTGATGGAATACCAAAGTGGTTTCGTTTTGTTATATCAACATGTACTTAGCAGTATATGCTAGAAGGTCGTATGATACATAGATTATCTCATTTAATATCGATGATTCAGTCGGTAGCAAATACTCTTTTAGTAGTTTCACTAGAATGGATTAGTCTAGTCTGAATGCATGCTTAACTAAGTAATCATACACACATATTTGAATGGGAACCCAACAAGTTAATATTTTTTGTTTTTGTTTTTAACTCTATTTGCTAGCTCGCTCGTCCTAACAAAGGAATGTTGCAGTGTTGTTATGTCTTTCATGGGCCGGATATTAATAAATATATATTAAATACATATTTACAATATAATGTCTAACAGTTGATCAATGGTTCTAAAAAAATAAACATTCATGCAATTTGTTGAAAAGGACCTATCGATTTAAGTTTCTTTTCACCGTAATATTTTATTCACCCACTTACTACACACACTGATTGCTATTATTGGGAAAACGCTGTATTTCACACATTACAATTAGTTTTATATTTATAAAAACTATTTCTTCATTTTATTGTTCGAGGTATTATTCAAACGACCTGCCTTGAATATTCAAATATTTAGGCAATCTGTCTTTTAATCTGGCGAATACATTCAACTCGTGCTAGAGTTGATGACTTGTGTCTTGTAAACAAAAAAATTGATCACCCCGTAACAATTTTAAGAGCATGGTACGATGTGTTTCGAAAAGGTTAAAACACATCTTTCAAAATGACGTCGACGACTTGTTTACTGAACAATGCAGTACGTGCTTTTGGCAATAAAGCGAAGAACATTCCCAATAAACGGATGCCGATTGTACTTAATATGCACAGTAATAATAACCACAGTGCAACCATGTACTTTATATATGTTAGTTAAGATTTGGTTTAACAGGATAGGAAACAGAACAGAACCAGTAACACACGATAGATAATTATAACCCGAATAGTAACTACGTGTACAAATGAAAACTATTTTGGGGGATATGATGTTATGTAATTTTTAAGTTTGTATGCTCACTTCGCTCGAGTTATGTACTCCAGTGCACTTAATAATAATACTTTTACGTTTTGCACTAGTGTACTTAGTAATAATACTCTAACTTTTCATACATTTACACTTAGTAATGAAACTTTTAGGTTTTATACTAGTAAACCTAATAATAATAGTCTTACGTTTTATACATTTACACTTGGTAATAAAACCTTTAAGATTTACACTAGTAAACTTAGTAATAACGCTCTTTTGTTCTACACTAGTAACTTTTGATTATGTTAAATCTTAAACAATAAAATAAAGTTTCAAGACAAAATCACAAGAGAGCAAACCACAAAACAAATATTCATTCGAATGGAACTTAGTTGTCTGTAAGGCAGCTGACTATTTGCATTTGTGTTTAAAACATTGATCAATAAATCTACTGATTCCTAAGACTAGCTTATAATTTTCCTTTGTCAGTAATAAAAAACAGTTTACCATACCCTTTTTGTTTATTCGTATACTTAGTTTATTATATATACCCATCTTATCATTGTCATGTTGTTTGCATCTGATTAGAAAATATTCTTTGAAATAAGACATGGTCTAATTTTGACGTCATTGTATCGGCGTATTCCTAATCCTAGCTTATAAACATGCACACGTATTCCCAGTTCGTCATTGAGCCTTGTAAGCGGGTTTTTCATTTCTAAATAATGTTCGCAACTGAAGCTTGTTTAACTCTCTATAAATACGTAATTTGTCTTAGTGTTGTCTCTTTTATTGTTTATTTTTCAATGATCATTAAGTCTTTTTCAAGACTGTAATCGTCATTGCATATTTTTTCTTTAACATGTTTGGTCCCACACATGCATCACATTAGATTTGGTTACAAAATGTTCATGCCAGTAACCCGATTCCCAATATTATTGTCATCCAGATTTAGTATATAAACACACATTAGTAAATAACACCCACAATAGCAATGAACTGATATCCCTCGATGCTTTAGGAATTATTTCTAGGGGACGTTTTAGCTATCACAATGATAAAAATATATCCAAGTAAGTTCGCGTCGTATGTAAATAAATTAATACCATTCCATTGAATGAAATATGGATTAAACGACATGTATTTGCGTGATAGACGAACACTTTCGTGACAACGTCAACTTTTCCATCTATACTTACGATAACAGGTATCCATGTAAAGCACATCGAGCACAAAGCAGGATTGCGTTCACTTATTGATATTACCTGCTATTGTTTACATCGTCTTTCTGTGCTTTTCATGTACCTATATATATATATATATACTATATACACTATTATATGTACTATTAATTTATAACAGTCAATTTTCTAATCATACATTACTAATTCATTTTAATATATAGCTATTTAATTTTAGATGCTCCATCAATGTTATTATTTTCAGTGGAAGACATTCGTAGGCGGGTCAAATATAAGTTTCTATCTGTATGAAGAATGTCTTCATACAGCTTCATTATGCATTTTTAAAAATTTGATTTTAAAATACCCAATAGTATGAATAAATGTAAAAATACAGTGTAATTTATGCAAAATATCAGAATATCCTATTTTGATTGTTGTATCTATACAAACATCTATTTGTCTATTTAAAAAGCGTGAATAAAAATTGTATGTTTTATTCGCGTAATGCAAACATATAATAAGCGCCAAACAAGTTGTTGTACAATGAGTTGAAACTGACATTTAATTACACAAGTACAAGCCGGAGTCACAAGCCGGAGTGTTTTTCTAAACCAATCTCCCAGTTGCCCACTTGTTACATATAATACACACTGAAACGTGTTTAAACACATACGTATGTAGTAAACATTTCAAACACCTTGGCCTTTGCCTTAAACTATAGGCAAATTAAATACATTTCAAGGCGACGTAAAAGTGGCCTTATGGCATAATGTGTCTGATATTGTTTTATAACAATATATCCAATGTAAGATGTATTGCGTTGCTTGCACACATATTTATGCCTTTTATTTTTCTGATGGGGTGTCATGACGACGTAGTGAAAATACCTTTTAATGCGTCAATAGAAGTTTATGTTATTTCACAATAAACCAGTGATGAGTATCAAACAGATGCGAACAAATAAATCTTAGCACAATCGAAATTTTAATTTATAGTCCGTACAAAGAAACAAACGACTGACAAACAATCCCAAGCACAAAACAAATCTAATTACAAATTACAAACTTTCAGCTAATCTGTATATTTAACACTTTACACTTTAGAACAGTTTACAGTTTTACAGTTTGGCGATATTGTCCAACAAATATTTATTATGCAAAGCAGGTGCGTAAAATCACGTGATTATTTGAAGAGGTATTCTCCACCTTGTGCTGGCTTGTAAAGGGAAGAAAATTAATTTTAATCAGAAGTGTCTGCTAACGTGCATGTTGTTCATTTGTTTTCATCTTTTACTGTATTCAAATAAAAGACTTAGTTTGTGAATTCCCATATAAGCAATCACACGAACTATGAATACGTGTAGCCTGCGTAGACTGTTTTCTGGAAAGAAAACGTGTTCATTCAACAAAATATTCACTGATCATACTAAATATAGTAAGAAGAGCAATAATGAAGGGAATGAATGACTGGGATGACAAAACGTACAGAGAATAAAAAACCCAAATAAGAAAATACTTATTTCACAATACTGAGTGTGTCTTCCTATGTGTGTCAGCAAAAAACTTGTTTGCGCGTGTGTTAGGTCACGTGATTCTTATTTAGTCATGCACTACTATGTCACTGCGTCCGATGTAAACAAAGACATAGTGTTCGAATGTGACGTATACATGACGTATGTTTGCCAAATAAGGAAAACCGTCTCAAAACACTAGGACACGTCCACACGTTGACGGCTGAATTCGAAATTTTCTTTGTCAAGTGTTTACAAATGCACCTTACACCAATTTATTAATAATTGTAATGTTATACATTCGGAGTTTTTATAAGTGATTGTTTAAATATTATACGTAAATAAATTATATTGTGTGGTGATACATAGCATGGTAATTGTATTTTATTGCCACCTAAAATAAATCACATTTGTAAAAGCTTGGCACATTTTGTACAAGATTTGTGATTTCTTCAGTCTATAAATGTATAGATGAGATCACCCGCACTACGAAAGTACCTTTTTATTAATTAGATTACTTTATATGTTATATTATAATTCAATTCAATTCAATTCAATTAGATTATATGGTAGAACTTAAGCCAGATAATATGACAAACTAATAAATATCAATCGTCTTGTCAGACTGGTTAAGCCGACTTTCCCGAACGCAGTTTAAAGTTGACTTTGATCTATTATTTACGGCGATGTCACACTATTGCCGTAATTGGTGAATTATGTGCGAATGTCATTATTAATGACGCAGGGTATCAGGCAGAAGGGTTTATTATTCAAATTAAACTCTTCAAGTCGTTCGCGGGTGTTTTGACCTATTAAATAGGGTGATATTGTTTGCTATTTCATTAAATACTTGGGCATATGCCGTAGGGTTCGGGGTGTTTTTACGCGGTAAACATCATAGTTTTAAAGAAAATTGTGTTTTAGACCCAAAATTTGTATCACGTGTGTCACATGTGTTATGTTATGTGGTTGTATATTACACACATGTATCTTACTTTGTATTGGTCTCGTGAATCAACCTTGCCTGGTTCAATGAATGAAACAATGAAGGACTGCATCTCAAGATTTATTTTCTCCTCGCTACAGTTGTTAATGCTAACATTCACAATGATCTCCATTCACCAATATCAATGGAATAT